TTGTCCGTCACTATTGTATCAGGCAACCCGAAACAGCTGAATACTTTCTGCAGACTGGCAATGGTGGCTTCGGTAGATGCCTTGCGCATGCAGAAAACTTCTGGCCACTTCGTGAAGGCGTCTACGATTATCAGATAATACAGACCATCGATCGGACCCGCAAAGTCCATGGGTAGCCGCTGCTACGGCGCCTCAGGCGTAGGCCAATCGTGTGGTTCACATCGTGGAGGAGTCTTGGCAACTTGAATACATCGGGGACAAGTTCGGCAATAGCCCTCCAAATCCTTGTCCATGCCGGGCCAATAAACGTAGCTTCTGGCCAGTGATTTCATTCGGATCACTCCTGGGTGGCCATTGTGGGACTGTCTGATTACTCCTTGTCGGAGAACCTCTGGTACAATCACCCTCTCAGCAAACATTAAGCAACCATCGACTATTGATAATGCGTCCTGGCGATTAGCGTACTGACAAACCTTTGGGTTGAGGTTCTTTCTGGGTTAGCCAAGTCGAATGAATTTCATGACTTCTTGCAGCACACAGTCGCGTTTGGTGGCCTCTTGAATCGTAGCTATGGTTATTGGGAGGGCTCGGACATTGTCGGTGATAACGCGCTTGATGTCTGGCTCAACGTTAACAGTTGCGATCACTGTGTCTTCAACAACCGCACTATGACATCCAATGAGTCGCGATTGAGCATCTGCCTGTCCGAAAGAGGTGGTTGTTCGATACTTAATCAAAAAGTCGTATCCTAGGAGAGTAGTGGTCCACCGCTGCAATCGGTTAGCTGTGTATGCAGGTATGCCCTTCTTAGATTTGAATATACTGAGAAGGGGTTTGTGATCAGTCAGCAGAGTAAAACGTCGACCGTAGATAAATTTATGAAACTTCTGTACTGCAAAGATAAGGGCTAAGGCTTCTTTTTTAATCTGACTATAGTTCCGTTCGGCTGGAGTGAGTGGACGAGCCACATGTGCGATTGCTTTCCCCGATCCATTAGGGAAAATATGCGATATCACGGCACCAATATCGTAATTAGATGCACCCGCTGCCACCACAAGTGGCAGTTTAGGATCGGAATGCGTGAGAAGTAGATTTGAAACGAGCAATTCTTTGATTCTTTCAAAAGATGGTTGACACTCTGTGGTCCATGTCCACTTGGCATCTTTAGCCAACAATCGATTAAGTGGGGCTCTTGTGTGATGGAGTTCCGGTAAGAAAGCACCGTAATGACTAACATGACCCAGGAAAGAACGTAAATTCGATACGCCGGACGGCGGTGGCATCGCTTTGATTGCTGCTACACTGTCTGGATCGGGCCTTCAACCAGAATGGTGAATAATAAAACCAAGGTATCTGATTTTCGACATGGTGACGATACACTTTTCAGGGCGGACTCGGAAACCATATTCACCTTGTGAGAGAACCTCGTGTGAGAACCTTATCCAGTTTGGCATAGAGGTCCTGTTCATCTGACCAAGTTACGATAATATCATCTAAGTAAGCCGCGGCACCTGGTATATCAGTCAACATTGTGTCCATGAGCTGCTGAAAAATAGCGGGAGCAGTCTTCACTCCAAAATGAAGACGGTTATATTGAACCAGTCCTTTGTGGGTATTAATGGTCAACAGCTGCTTAGACTCGGGCGCGACTGGAACTTGTAGGTAGACAGCTGCCAAATTAAGCTTTGCGAAGCATTTACCACAGTTTAGTTTCGCAAACAAGTCTTCAGGTACCGGTAGAGTGTACTGATGTGCCTCCAGAGCAGCATTTAACCCTGTTGAGAAATCAGCACACAGTTGAATGGACCCGTTTGCCTTTCGAACGACGACAATGGGCGCCGCTCAAGATGAGTAATTAACCGGCTCGATTACACCAGCTGCTGGAAGCCTATTCAATTCTTTTTCTACAAGAGTCATTGCTGCATAGAGGATCGGGCATTTTGGCCGAAAAACAGGTTGCGATCCTGGCTTTAACGTTAGAACAGCGGAGAATTTAGCGCACAGACCGATGCCATCAGCGAACACGCTCGAATGCTTCTTCCAAAAAGAGTCAGGCAGTTTCTAAATTATATTCGGTTTTGTTGCCTGTGTTTTGTAGCATATACTATTGAGTGGCCTGTTCAAAAGATTTGGCTTGTCAATCCAATCTATTCCTAACAAATCCAAACCAGGATGATCGGAAACATGACAGATGCCACTAACGGTGATATCGTCAAAAGTAACAGAACAACTGAACTCACCACAGAGTTTCAGTAAACTTCCAGATGCAGTGCGTGCAACTTGTTTGATCCTGGTTAATGCTGGGCTGCCAAGAAATTTCCAAGTTTTTTTGAGATGATCGTAATGTCTGATGCCGTGTCCAGCTGGAGACGAACAGGTTTGCTCTTAATACGTAGTGATACGTATTTCTTCCTGTTCCCCTGTGGGCGTTGATGAGCGGCCAGGCCAACGCGAGCCTTCGGAAGCTTGGAATTGGAAGTTCTAGTTCGAGAATGCCTCCTGGGTGTCTTCTTGCTCAAATTCATACAGTGAAATCGACGGCTGGACAAGGAAGCCTGTTCGCCGAAGATTGACGATAAAACAGTAACGGTTTTATCGAAAGTCAGGTCACTTGGTTTTCGTGGCAAAATATAATTCATAAAGCGTTCATGTTCGGCCACTCCAATGTTTATGACCAACTGTCTTGCTCTCCAAGAATCTTCTCTGCTTCCCAGATTCAATCTGAAAAAGTCTTCATGCTTGTTGAACCAAGAATCAAAAGTAATGCATGAGATCGGATTGAACTGGAATTCGGGGATCGCGTTGAGCATCGTGTCAATCACCGAAGTGGACGGCTCAATAGTCTGGTTAATCGGCTTCTGAAGTGACTATTTTTCAGTGAGTGTTTCGATGAGCTTCAACTGCGCCAGCTCAAACTGTTCCTGCTGCTGTCTGAGGAGAGACTGTATCTGTTCGAATGAAATTGCCATTGTGAACACCCGTCTGCCAGTGTTGTATTGTGCGGTGGTGGCCGAGCTATGGGTTACGCCTGCACTGAGCCTGCCAGACTACGCGATAGAGAGAAGACAGAGAACTGGGGGACACGGCTGTATTGCCAGGACAAAACGTACAGAGCGTCTGCTTAAATATATAGGATGACTACTTGGCCAAATATGGTCGTCCACTTGTTAGCCCCGTACAGCCAATGGTGGTGTTCCGGTCGTGAACATTCTCAGGCCCGCTACGCTGGTCGTGTGTTGCTAAGGCGTTTGGTGAGAGCCGTGTTTCGTGGGAGCCGCCCCTACTTTCCGGACGTGTCGAGCCGATGGTGGCCTTGGGGATGCGTCACTCTCTGCATATGTACTTTTTCTTCTGTCTGGGCGCGCCCTGACATTTCCCCCTTTTGAAGATAGAACGTACGTTCTCAACCTGGGATTCATCTGCAACCGTTTTACCGGAATTCTCCGTCGTCCACTTCTTCTTTGCAACGGAGATGTGTTGACGCCAATGTTCGATTCTGTTTACTCATTTTTCGGTTGCAGCTCGGACATTTCAAGGAGGATGTCTAACGGTAGATTCGTTTTTCTTTCGTGTATCGTGCCGGGTTGTATCCAATGTCGAATTTGATTAGCATGCCTAATCCACACTGTTCCGCCAATATATACCTCAGACGACGTTCCCTCTGCGTCGCAATATAATCCCCGGAATACAGCGATTCGCTGAGTAGTCTCTGACAAGGACAGAGTCTCCACGGCTAAAAATACGTCCAGGGCGACATTTGCCGTTGGATTGTCCTGGTTGGTTTTCATCGCCGGTCTCTCTGGTTTTTCGGGGGCGCAATGCGTCAATGTCTTCACTTTCCTCTTAAACATAAGTTCCGCTGGAGACTTCGCATTAGGCGCACTTGGGTTTGGTGTCGTC